CTCTGACCAGGTGGACTTGTTCCCTAAGTTTAGTTTTCTTGAGAGGTGTTTTGCATCCTGCTTTGTTCCTTCAGGTCTCCCCGAGCCTTTTCTTCCACAGACAGGAGCAGCAGTTTTTCTCCTTTGCTTCCCATACCCTTGGTGTTTAGCTTGCCTGTAGCCAAGAGTGATATTTAGGGCCACTAATCTTAGTTTAGTTGCTGTGTGCAGAGGAACCAAAGGCAATGCATCACTGTTTTATTTTGCAAAGTCACTGGGTCTGAAAAGCCAGAAGGAGAGTTTCTTTCTAAAACTCACAGTCTGTGTAGGTGTAAAAGACAAGGAAACTGTAGTCTTTTTGTTTTTTAATGTCTGGCATGTACTTAGTGCTAGAATACGATCCTCAATTTTTCTAGCACCTTCCTACTTCAAGTCCAGTTTTTATTCCTTCAGAATTGATGGAATTTTATTTCTGTGAACCCAGTGTGAGTTTGAGGCCATAGAGCATCTCAAAATATCTTGCTGTGTAGAGGCTGCTTGGCCCTTTTGCGTTTTTCTCAAAGCATATGTGAGGAACCGACTAGTTCAGGGCTGTGGGTGTGAGGGGGCGATGTTGTTCTGCTTCCTTTCTTAGTCATTCCAGCCTTCTGCTTGGGGAGAGGCAAGAGCTTCATTTCCAGTCAGTCTTGTGTTCTAGCCCATGGACCTTCCTCTTTAAACATAATTTGTTTTTTTTCCTCTGTCATCATATATAGAGCTACTACTGGATCAGTGCTGAGAAAGAGCAGAAGGTTGTCTTTTCCCTGAGCTGATTGGGGTCYGCTGTGAAGTTGGGGGAGATGAAATATTTTCAAAATCTCAGAAAGCTTCTGTAAGAAATCTTCCCAGGAATTGCACTTGTAATGACTTCAGCAAACTATTGGCTAAAGCATTGTTGGAATCTCTCAGGATTACCTTAAGTAGTAAACAAGGGAAGTGATAAATGGCGCACAGATTAAATTTCAAGGTGAAAAATCGATCGGAAGAAAGGAGTTGTTCCAAATGGTCATGCTGTGTGTAGAAACAAATTAAAATGGGAAGCGGAGGGGAGAGCCTTTAGTTTAAGATTATTCCAAGAAATTCTTTACAGAACTGTGTCCAAAAGGCATAAAAACCCATGGCCCTAACAGGCATATCCCAATACCCTGAGGAAAGTGCCAAGAGAGCTATAAAACAGTGTCAAACTGAGGAGTTGTTCAAGGAGAGCAATATACGTATGTTAGAGAAACAGGTTTAAATTGAAGTTATGGCAAAATTAGTCAATTAACATGATGCATGTGGGTATCACTGAATTGCTGCAGCATTTGGTGCTCTGGTGCTGCCTTTTTGAGAAGATGGATTGCAGGCAAGAACAAAACCAATGCTCTGACAAAGCACTGTAGCAAAGGATCATTTATTGCACACTTTGGTTTTCTCAAGAAGAGGCTACGATGAGGAGAGTATGTATTTGCACTGATTCTTCCTGCCCCTGCTAGGAGAGTGTTTTTGATTTAAGATGAAATATAGTAGAGCTTGGTTTCTGTCACTGACCTTCAGGCAGGAAATTCACATGTGTGTGTTTTGGGTGTAAGCAATTAAAGCAGTTCCATTGATGTCTTTAATGTTTGTAGCAGCAAGTAAATGCAGAAGGCAATACAGGAACCGATTCTTGTTCAAAATCGTTAAATATGAACCACAACCCCCTGTTCAGCAATGCAGTATTTAACTAGATTTCACTGATGCAGAACAGCTAAGAGTCTGTATTGCTGATGACTGAAGAATGTTATCTAAAAAGTGATATTCATGGGAATTGTTTAATTTCCCAGGCATACACTACATAGGGTTCAACTTCATTTCTTTCATTTGAAGTGTATTTGTGAATAGGATATAGTGAGCTTTACAAAAATGGTCTCTGATTCCATACTGTTGCAATCCTGCAAAATGAGCAACATGGGTGAATCTTAATGAAGAAAAAGTTGCAAACCTGCTGCACTCTAAGTGTTCGTCTGCTTGTTGGATCAGGACTTGTGTGAAGAGACAGGAGAGAGCATAAAAACAGAAGGTAATAGAGCCTTAAGTAAGGTGGAATTAGGAAAGCTCTAATGACTAGAATACTAAYTTAGAACTAGATTTCCAATTGTCATTAGAAAAGTGTGTGCTTTTTCCACAGCACAAAATGAATAGAATTGAATTTACCCCTAACCTCTCAGCTTGCATGGATAAGAATAGAATGTAAAACCAAATTAGAAATATTTTAATTCAGTTACTTCACATGAGTTTTTCAGGAGCCTAATCAGGAAGATCTTCAGTCTGTATGATATGGGCTCCTTTAGCATGATCGGAGGCCAAATACTAACATTGAAATAACTGACTTGGGGAGCACCTCACTAAGATGAATTCCCTTTTGATCATTTGTTTAGATATGTAGCAATAGGGGGATGTGATGGTGTGCTGAGTGCCTTTGGAGCATCTTCCTCTTTTGAAATGGGAGTTTGGTGTCTGACCTTTTCCCACTTTAGGCAAGCTGGAGCAATTTTGTTCTGTGGCCTTGACACTGGGAAATTAATTGCTGTTTTTATAATTACATCCATGTTCATCAGCACAGGTTATTTGCTCACATTAAAATGTAAATTTTATGAATTTTTAGGGCAGTTGAAATGCTTGTAAGAAGAATAARCTTGGGCTCGTTTTGGAGTTCTGTTTATGGCACTGCCATAGACTTCCTGCAGAACTCTCTATATATTAGTCTGTTCATCATGTGTTAAATATATCTTATGAAGCTTCTTTCCTCAATTTTGAGTTCTCTTGGCTGGAGCTATAAGATCTTTATAAGCATTGTTCCATTTTGTGCAGCTGCAAGACGAATGCCTGGGCTCTGTGTGTCACAGCAATGGGCTGCAATGCCGTCTCATGTTTGTACTATTGGGGAAGATGCTTGATCCATTCCTTTTTAGTAAGGAAATCTCAACTTTCTAGACCTTGCAGAGGAAACGGGGAGATCAGTATTTATCATCACAGAAATCTTAGTGTCCTTAAGCCTGTCATTAAGTTGACAGGTTAAAAAACAATTAACCTTAATAGACATTAAGCAATGTGATGCACATGAGCTATTTTGAAGCATTAAAAGTTAACAGTCTGGGTCTCTATGAAATAAACAGTGATGAGATTGTGCCGTGYGGAACTGTGTGCCATGGGCAGACCGCTAGTTTTCTAACTGCGCTGAAGTATATAGCTGTTAAGTAAAAATCAAAATTCTCCTGGTGCGCTAGCTGTAGGTGATTTATTCTGTGTCACTCTTAAGGTGATAAGCAGAACAGGGGTTTCAGTGGAGACTTTGGCAATCTTGCTAAGGCTTATTTGCCAGTAGCCCAGGGAGATGATGTGATGGCACCGCAGGGGGCCCTTACCGGACCTGAGGAGCAGAGTGCATGTCCCACAACCAGACCCACAGGAGCCCTTACTGAGAGGAGAGGGGTGAAGACAGGCCCTGGCCAGCACCGCAACAAGGACCTGTCTTGTTCTTTGGAAGCTTCTGTGGTTCCTGCCTCCATTCATCTATTCTCACAGAAACAAGAACAGAAAGGTGATCTGTGGTTGAGAGACATCAAGAATCTTAATTGCGGACTCATTGAGGTTACTGCCAAAACACATAACATGCACCCTGTTGTTTTTAAAATTTCCTCAGCTATAAAATGTAATAATGCATAAATTATGTATCCTTCAGTGTTGTGCGAGTTCATTAGATAATGCTACGTAGTGCTTTGAAGATGAATGTTTTATAAAGCTCGCCAAGGGTCTCCATGTCAGGTATATAGGAATCTGGTATCTCTAGAAACAGGGAAGCTGAGGTACATAAGATTAGAGGCACTTGGGCTGGCTCAGGCTGATTGACAGCACAGGCACATGCACACAAATAAAGTCCATGTGCACAGCAATATGTAAATGTGTCTTCTGGACCAGAACTGTTTAATCACACATTCACTAGCCTGCAAATTCAGGAATCTTTGCTGCTTTTGTGTTAGAGATGCCCTAAGCCTCTGAGAGGAGGGATTGAAGTGAAAACTGTGACTTGGTACTGCTGACCCCCAAATACTTGGAAGTAATATGTGGGGTGCCAAGGCAAAGTGAGGTTTCAAGGAGAAATATGGGGATGGAGATAAATGCTTATTGCTCCAGGAACTGGAGTTTTTAATAGCATCAGCTATGTGGRTTAGGCAAGCAGGTAGCATGGGATCTGTTGTTTACTGAAACATTTTAGYCAAGCTGGGAGGTGGGTTAGTGAAAAGCATTAGTACTAACCCTCTGCTTCTCTATTTAGTCCACTCTGTTTTCTCTCTTGTGAAACTTTCTCCCTGGTATTATCTGTCCTCTAAAGATCTCACAGTAGGTGTTATCCCTTAGTTAAGTAACTGGCCAGCTGTTCACTGCTACTGACAGAAGCCTTTTCATTTGGTAAATGAGGTGTGTTTGACACTGACTTATTTTTCTTTCAGAGACTTTTTTTGAATGTTCGCCATGTTTTATGACTGAGCAACATCTTGRTTGGTAGAAGAGCTTGTTGGCACTCGGGACAGTATTTAATAGTCTTACCTGTTGGGAATTTTTGGTGACTTGGATGAATAAGCTGCATCCTACAGGAAGGTCAGATGAAAGAAATGTGTGTCTTTAAGCTCCYTTGGTGAAGAACTGCAGAAGCCAATACCAATTCCAGAAAAGTGTTGTTACCAAAAGAGACATTATTCCCTTTAAGACCTTTTCTGTCTAACTTGCATTTAGCTAAGGGATAAAGTCACACAATGAAATAGGCTGCTGCTTTGAAAACAGATCATTGCTTCGGTTTGATGGTACATTTTTCAGTGTCTCTTCCACATAAAGGAACTGAACTCCATAATTGAATTTTTGTCCACATATGGCTAAACACTTTGCTATTGTTTCTTTTTCCTTGAAGTGATTCTTATTTCTTAAACAAGCCTGACTTATTTTCTCTAAATTGTATCTTGCAGATCTTAAAATCCCAAGACATGTATTTCCTTGGACTGTTGTCTTTGCTTGTTTTGCAAAGCAAGGCCTTCAGCACCAACTTTCCTGATGAAACCATTGCAGAGCTTTCTGTGAATGTTTACAACCAGCTGCGAGCTACAAGAGAAGATGAGAATATTCTCTTCTCTCCTTTGGGTATTGTAATAGCCATGGGGATGGTAGAGCTTGGAGCCCATGGAACCACCTTGAAAGAAATTCGACATTCATTGGGTTTTGACAGCTTAAAAAATGGTAAGACCTTTTAATCATGTTTTACGGTGTATGCTTTTAATCTTACAGCAACTGATAACAGGGCCTGAACAATCTGGAAGTGACTCAGTGTTGTGTATGGGTTATTAATCATTAGGCTCCTTGGCATCCTGCTTGACCTGAGCATGCTGCAGCATGTCTCATGGATGCTACATAATCTGAAGTGCTGACATACAACCCTGGCTTGGGCACCAGAACTTTCACAATTAATATCAACTGTTAACTAATTAACAGTCAGTTTTGGCTTCCAAGTGTAAAATAAGCATGTCACTTGCCCCAAAGTCAATAGATTCCTTTTGGTAGTACTATTTATTGGGACTTATTAAGAAGCTTGAAAATGAAAGCAATGGTATTGAGCAGTGTTGCGTATTATACCATACATGTTATACACTATAACATTTCCAATTAAATTACTAAGATGGTATCTCTGACAATGTTTTTCTAAGATACTTCACATAATTTTGTCATTCCTTGTTAGAACTGACTGAAGTTTGAAGAGAGAAAATGAAAACTCAGGTGATAGATAAATGTTGAGTTTGATTAGTCTTTAATGTTTAAAAACTGTAGAAGATGGGTATATAATTCTTGTTGTGATAACCATTGTTAGGCAAAATATGAAAGTGAGATGTAAGAACAAGTATTCTTATGTCATCTTTTGCCTCTTGTTTTAATACTAAATACATTTTTTGTATTTCCAAAAAAAGATACCAAGTCAAATGTAAAATAATCATTTACAAGATGGACATCTGCCCTTCTCCCGTACTCTATGTGGCTTGGTAAATTTCTGGAGGAGAATATATTTTCTGAAATGTCTTCCTGAATCTCTTTTCCCTTTTCACAGGTGAGGAGTTGGCCTTCTTGAAGGACCTCTCTGATATGGCAACTACTGAAGAAAGTCATTATGTTCTGAATATTGCCAACTCCCTCTATGTGCAGAATGGATTTCATGTCAGTGACAAGTTTTTGCAACTGGTRAAAAAATACTTCAAAGCTGAAGTAGAGAACATAGATTTCAGTCAAAGTGTGGCTGTAGCCACCCACATCAATAAGTGGGTGGAGAATCATACAAACAGTAAGTCTACATGATTCTTTTGTGTATTTGGAAACAAAGCGAACACTTACTGCACAAAGTTGGATAATTTGGTAGAATTGCTGCATTGTCTGTTCATGTTGAGACTAATGTCTCTTCCCATAAAAAAGAATTCTAATATCAGTTCTTTGTGGAACTGTTTTTCCTGTACAGCAGAGATCTGACTTTAGATGGTATTTACTGTTACTAAACCCCGAGTGTCTGYCAAAATGTATCTTCCTCTGTGTTGCTATTGTGAAGTAGCTGTAACGTTTATTGAAGTTGAATGATGTTTCAACAGTATTCTAATACTGATCTAGATTTTATTAGAAATCAATAGATAAGTGTTGCTAACTGCAGAAAAACATTGTGAAGAGATTATGGGCCTGTGTTCTAGGTAGGTGGTGAATTCTAGGAWCTTTTTCTGATACTCATGAGTACAAGGTACTAAGAAATGGAGTACTAAGGAATAAAAATTGATGAGCACAAAAATCATATCCTGTAAGTCAATCTCTTCCAGCATGAGGAAACAACTCAAATGAGGTGGATAGCATGTAGGGAGAATATGAGATTTCAGGAAGATTAACAGCAGCAAGCACAAAACTACTTATGTAAAGGCCTTTACTCAGACCTGCATGGCTTGCTTCATGTGCATGTGGTGTTCTTTGACATGTAGAGCCCAGATATGGGAGTGAAGCCACTGTCCTGTGTGGGGATTAAATCATAACCTTATTCATCACCTGGCACCCTTGGTGGAGGTTGGTATTTTAAGTGTAATTCAAGAACAGAAGACCAGTTTCAGCATAACTTGTGCCACTGTTAATCTAAAGGTGAGATCAGATTCCCCTTTAAGGAACTGACACATCAGCATGTTGTCTGAACATTTAAGAAGCCCTAATGCTTTATAGAAATTTCCAGCACTGCAATAAAAAGCAGCTCATGTAGTGCTTTTATTCCATTTTTAAAATCATCTTGTTTTTGCAAGGAAATGAGAACTATTATCACCATAATAAATTTTGCCCTTTATCTCAGGCTACAGAAATGGAGAGAATGCAAGTCATGCAGCAAATTGCACAGTGTTTTCACATGAGAAATACAGTGTGTGTCTGAGGGAAACTTAAAATAATGTTTCTTCTTAAAAAGAATGAGTTTGGTTTTCCAGCTTGATACCTGTGGCATGTGCTGACCCACCTCCTTACCACCAYGTTGGCAAGGACTGTAGAGCCAGCAGAGGTAACTGTGATAGGAACTACCCCACAGCTTAGTTTCGTAGCACTGAAAGTGATTTTATCCTGTCTGCCAGCTTTCTTCTTTGGGAAAGGGATACAAGACCGACAGGCAACTATTTTCAGTGTGTTAATCATGATGGAAGACTCAAAGTTGCAAACATCACTGYCCAAGGTCTTTCTAGCCAGAAAAATTCTTCTTGTATCTTTATTAACAAGAAATGGTTGAGAAAAGTAAGAGGATGTCCTACTTTAAAAGGGAAAAGTGGAAGTGTATCYTTCCTTGGTTTCTTCCTTTTTATTGTCTTCCCCAAAAGGAAGCACGTATGCCAGCATGAGTGCCATTGAATTGTCAAGTGCAGTCATGCCCAAAACAAATACTACCCCATGATGCAAACTTTGCACATGACACCTTCCAGCTGGTGCTGCCTCAAGAAGCAGAATTAATTTGTTATTTAAACCATGGATTAAGTAATAATTAGAGTGAGGAATTGATTTATTTTGGCACCTTGCAGTGTCAGTTAAAAATAGAAATGAGCAAAAAAGCCAGCCACCTGAAGTAGGCTGTAATTCTTCAAGAATAGTGGCAAATCTGGGCAGAGGATTGAATTTAATAAACTCAAAATTAGTTTGTTGAAAAGCAAGCTGTTTAAGGTGAGCTGAAGCAGGTAATGTAGATTATGTTCTGATATATATTATTTACTTGGGAGTAGGAGCGAAGCAGCTGCTGTGATCTGCTGACAAAACTCATGTGAACAGAGGAACTGCCAGGGGAACAACTGCTGAGAACTTGCATTGTTCACAATTACTCCTTTCTTTGGAGAAACACACAATTTGGTTAAATTTACATTTCCAAATGGCCCAGGTGCTGTTTAAGTTCCAAAGGATTTCCTTACACACTTAAAACACCCAAAGTGCTGCTTCGATTTGGAACCAAAATTTGTTGGAGTTTTGACCTCTAGGGGATAAAGCTGGAGCACACTTAAGATTTCATCGTGGTGCATATTCAAGCAGTGATCAAGAAACAGTTGATTGACATATGCTTGATGGAAAGATTTACATGCCTACGCTGTGATTTGGGTTTGCAAAACACTGACAGTTTAATCTGGGATTTAAMGGAACATTTGAATTGGAAATTATATGTTAGTACGGCTTTTTATTTTCTTCCATTTTTTAAGCTCTCTTGGGTTTTGATTTAATGTTTAGTTTGATGTGCTGACTGACAGTATTTTTTTTTCTTCCTCCCCCCCAGATATGATCAAAGATTTTGTGTCGTCAAGCGATTTTGGAGCTCTAACCCATTTGGCTCTAATCAATGCAATCTACTTTAAGGGTAACTGGAAATCACAGTTCAGACCTGAAAACACAAGAACTTTTTCTTTCACTAAAGATGATGAAAGTGAAGTGCAGATTCCCATGATGTACCAGCAAGGAGAGTTTTACTATGGTGAGTAGGAGCAGTTTAAAGGTAGTAATACTTTCCTTTATAGCATTGTGGCAATAATACTCATTTGTGATGTTGATTATTCCACCTGCAATTAAGTGTGGTTGTCGACTGACCAATGAATGGATTCTGATATATTTTTTGTAATGTGTTTGTAAAATTGAGTAGTGACTCTTTTATGATTCATAATGACATCTTATTATTTAGATTTGTTTGCCACATGATGAATTTAGGATGTTTGACCATTGTTTTCAACATCTGCGTTTCTAGATGGCTCTCACTGGCATATTTTGTTGTGCTTTGCTGTATATTGAGTAGTGTTGCTAATGTCCCTGTCCTTGTTTTTTTTATAAAAACTTGAGGAGTAAAAGCGGTTCTAGGAAAAGCCAGCCAAGATGGTTGTTGTCTTTAAGTTGTGGTAGAAATATAAAATATGGGGCCTACAGTGTCTACCATTGACAGCATTTACATCAGTCTTATTGATAACCTGTCTATCCCTTGAATGAAAAAATTCTGATCATTTCCATGAAACTCTTGGGATTTTTATTATCTTTGAGGCTTGTCTAACGATGGAAATTAGCTAACAGMCTTGGAGGTATGGTAGCCTCCAGTCTGTGATTTCCTATAGCAGGCAAGCTAAAGTAAACAGAGGTTAAGGCTCAGCTCCTATGGGAAGAAAACAATATTGATTGATACTGAGGAGAGCAAAGAGGGTCACTTTTAGCTCCAGTATCCAAACTTCTTTTGGCTTGGCTACAGATAGAAGAAAATAGTTGTGATAGCTTTTTTTCCTCTTTTGTAGGAGAGTTCAGTGATGGCTCCAATGAAGCTGGTGGTATCTACCAGGTTCTGGAAATACCCTATGAAGGAGAYGAGATGGGTATGATGATCATTCTTTCCAGACAAGAAGTTCCCCTGGCCACACTGGAGCCACTGGTCAAAGCCTCGTTGATTGATGAATGGGCTAACTCTGTGAAAAAACAAAAAGTGGAAGTATATTTGCCAAGGTGAGTTCATCTTTCCCAATCAAAAGATGAGGAAAGATTGCATTTCAAATGATGGGAGTAGATCAAACTTGACCAGCTTGAGTAGATTTGTGGCTGTGTAGCAACCAAATGGAAGCTGCTTGGAGCARAAAGCCTGGGAGCGCCGTGATTCTGCAGTTACCGAGCAAGGGATGGATGTTGTATTTATCTTTCAGCTGCAAACCTCACAAAAGGAAAGTATTCACTCTGAAAGATGCCTGTGTCACTTTGCAGAGCTCATCAGGAGTAAATTCTGTTTAGGAAGGAGCCATTAAAATATTACAAGTCTGAGAATTAACAAAAGCTAAAATGCTTCATTTAAGTGCTAATTCAATTTTTATTTGTTGCTAATTTAAAAGTCCTAATGTTCTGCATCTATGTAAATACAAATGTTGAAATGTAGATCCAGTTTGCCTCTTTCTTCCTCAGAGCAATAGAATAACAGGATATGATTATCAGAAGGGATTAGGACTTCTGTCCATTCATTTGTGGATGTATAAACTGMATGTGTTCAAATATATCATTTATGTTTCATCATTTGTGTTTCATTCCAACTGAAGCCTGAATCCTGTTTCTCTTAGTTGTAATTTTTGGAGTCATAGCAATAAGGAAGGAAATAGAAATGTTTTGGCATCCCTATTTTTCTCTGCCCCATATAGTTGACAGTAAGGAGTATCAATTCAAGTAACTTCCTTTGGAGAAGCACTAAAAGCAAATAACTATGCCGCACCTTCTATAGAAACTACCTACTCGCTGTGTTTTTCCTTTTTTAAAAAAATGTTGTTTTTCTGTGGAGTTTTTAGGYGGAAGGAGTTGTGATGTTAACATTCCGCTAAAATGCAAGAGGTGTTCCTCCTCCTGAGGGTAATGTCTCCTCATATGTGCAGACAGGCTAGCTTCTAAATTTAGGAAACTTAGGTATATGAAGTTAAATACATGAATGCTGTTGTAAAYATATTATTGATACTGAGCTTGAGTTTTTTACAGGTAGGATTGGGTTCTGTTTTCTTTTTTAATCAAAATCAGGACTCGAGGATTGCTTCAAGACACCAGTTTGGACATGAGTTTAGAGGACCTAATTTTAATTTCTTTTGTGCCTGATACCTCCTGCCTCAGACTAGTCTTGTCTGCAGCTCTCATGTAAAAACCCCCAAGGACTTGGTAGGTGCTGGTGAACTAAAGCTGTAAGAAAAAGAGGTAGAACTTATCTACTGTATTTTCAGCTTATAAATGAAGAGCTAGTATGAGCTTGAAATTCCGTAAAGCTACTAACTTCCTTATGAAATTCCAGGGATTAATTGCATGTTTCCAAGGTGCTGGTTTTCCATTAGAATTCAGAGGTGGTCTGTGGGATATTATCAATGCTCTAAATAAATACTTCATAAATATTTTATGCTCTAGACATGTTATAAAATGTGGCCTGCAGGCACTGTCCACTGAGAAATTAAAAGCAGCGTTGGAATAAAATTAAATTTTTATACCCGGAAAGATGCTATCCAATTATAAAGTGAATGTTTTTTTTTAGACTTCTACATTTGTAATAGGGCATGAATGACTAGCCAAAGCAGAGTTAATCACAACTTTCCAATTTCTGTCTGTGCTATCTGTGTGCAAATGAAATTGTGCATTACTTCTCTAAATAGCTAAGGAGAGATTTGTACTGAATTGTTAAATTATACTTACTCATTTTCATTTTTCAAATCATTGTTTCCAGTTTATCCCAGCCTAAAATGATCAACATTTTAAACCACTTCTATGTAAAAAGGGAAACAGACCATGAATCTAATTTACAAAGCTGTCTCCCAAACATCATTTATTTCAAGAGMACAGAAGGAAAAGCTACCTAATAACTGTGCTAGTTTTCACAGTTCCTTTCAAGGATTGTTCCAGTGTGTCTGGATTTCTAAAATGAAACATCTTAATGTCTCAGACTGTACTAAAAAAAGATAAGTTGTTTTTGTTAGAAACTTTCTCTTCTCTCCAGAAGAGAGCAAACTTTAACACGCTGTTCTGAGTCTCCCTCTTATGAGGAACATTTTGATTGTTATTGAGTTATATGGATACATGTTATCGAACTGTGGAACAGGAAAAAATCTGGTTTTGCTAAAGTGTTCATTTAACAGCCAGCTACAGCAGCCTGTAATTAACCCTGAAGAGAAGGAACTTGCTGTAGAAAGAATGCTGAAAGACCAAATGGCCTTGGTCTTTAAAAGCAGCTGCCTGTCTCTGTCAGGCCATTAGATTCTGCACGTTAGTTGGTCTTAGCACTTCAGGAAAACCTGGTTAAAATTCCAGATAAAATGTTGGAGCCTTAAAATCCTCACAGAGATMCTGAGAAGGTGTCCTTCAAGCAGGAGTCTGGCCATATGGTTCTAAGAAGGATGGCTGTTGGTTGCTTGCTTTTTTGGAAGCATTTTTATAGAAATGTTAATGTGCTGCTTTGCTGCTGCTTTGTTATTTATCCCAGTATTTCACTTGTCATCATTATCTAGACATTTTAATCTTCTAATAATAGAAAACTGCTAAAAGCCAAGAACAGAAACGGTATTTACTATTATGTTCTCCAGGTTCACGGTGGAACAAGAAATTGATCTGAAAGATGTCATGAAGGGTCTTGGAATTACGGAATTATTCAGCAGCAATGCTGACCTTACTGCAATGTCTGGTAAGAGTCTTTTGAGCATTTTAGAATTGGAGCTTATTAGAAGTGTAGAGGAAATTAATATTAAGCAAGAGGCAAGTCCATATTGCAAAACACGTGACCCGAGTGTCTTGACAGCAAGTGGGATTTGCACCACAAATGGGTTGTCACCCATAAGATGGGTCTGTCTTATGTCTCCAGAGGCTGTTTGTTGACAGCATTAATGCAATAAGTTACAATTAGTTATCTCCCCAAATACCTTCTGTATAGATGMACCATGTGAATGAAATTCTGTGATAAAGGCCAATTGAATACATATGCTCTGTGTCTGTTTACATTTTTTGCTATTGCATTGTGGTCAGAGGTGAAAATATCCACATCTAGAAATGCAGGTAGGAGTAATAGATATTTATGCTGTTAATACTCTTGAAGGAGATCAAACTAAAATGTGATTGAGCCAACTTCGCTTGAGAACTTACTCTTTCCTTTTGAGTAAGAAGCTGCACAAGCTGTGGATTTAGTGCAGCCTGTTTAGATGATTCTGAAGAAAAATATTTCCTATTTCTCTATCTCCAGGAGAATAAGTTTTATAGTAACATTAGGTATATATTGTTGAAAAATATTTAAATGAGAAAAGTGTCCAAACCAACCAAAAACATACGTGGTGGGAATGAACCACAAAGGGAATGTTTGTTTCTTCATTCTGCATAAAACAGAGACCCAAACATCAGTGAGCAACTCTGAAATTAAGAGGTTCCATGAATCCATAAAGATTGGGACTAGTTTCAATCCGTGTGATTAATGATTTGTTTAAAGCTTGTTTTTATAGTTCTCACAGAAAATRAAAATACCATGTTATATAGCGAATTAACTCCTCTGCTATTAAAAGATTAATTTGTTTACAGAATAATGTAGAGCAGTGTGCAGAGAATTAATGTATTTCATTGTCATGTTCTCACCTTTGATTTAAAGAGCATGCGCCAGCAGTGATGAAAAGGTCATTCGTATAGAAAAGGTTGCTCATAATTTCTTCAGAACAGGAACATATTTTTGAAGGGATATATCTAATGAAAATCTGAGTGGTCATGCTATAGAGACAAGCTTTTAATTAAAATACAAAAGACTGCGTGCCATTTTAAAATTTTCACAATGTAAAATGGAGAGGGATAGAGAAGCAAAACTGAAGGCAAATGGTGAAAGCTGTCTTAGGAAATATATGCATGGAATGTCAGGTAATGGGGGAATTAAGCCAGAGTTTTGTGTTTCATTGCCAAATTTTTCAGAGGAGGTAATCCATGAAATGATTTTTTAAAAWATCAGATGAAAACACTTTTTCAAATATTGACATTTAATTTAAGAAGAGGCTAATTACAAAAGAAAATATAGGGAAATTTTTGAGGATTCTGTTTGAATTTTGAGAATATTTTAAAATATTTTCTTCCGCCTTTCCTGTGTTGCTGCCTTTGGACTATTGTCAAAGAAAACCTTCTGCAATTTCAACAGGTCCTGGCATGGATTGTTGACTTCAGTGAAACTCTATGGGGGTTTAGTGGGCATAAATCAAATTGCAGGAGTACAGATTTCTTCAGTATTCCAGTTTTTAGACTTTTGTTGGAAATGGAAGACTTAACTTCATCATCTGAAATATCTGGATTGAGAGCAATCAAAGAGAAAATACTAATGCAGCTACTATGTGGAAATAAAGTAGTCAGTTAATGTCGATGAGTAGGGAAGCTGGGAGGACACCTCTTAGCCTGGAGTGTTCTTTCTGGCAGGCTTGATTTGGGTAGCTCCAAGGTGTTCAAAATAATCAAACTTGAAACTTGAGGAGAAATGAATCTTGAAACAGCTTTTGGTATTTGGGATTTTAGAGTTCACATAGTGTGTAAACCTGTTGCTGAGTATTTTGATACTACTTGCAATTTGTCCTTGAGCAAGTTAGTCTACTAAAACTTCCCTTTTCTGACAAATAATTATAGTCTTGCCTACTGCTGTGTAATGCTTTAAATGGCAACTGTTTTTAATCTCAAGGTGACCTGCATTTCAGTGAGTAATTAAGTAATAATGACTGACTTTCACAATACAAAGTAATTGGAAGAGGACCATTCTAGTAAATAGTTCTTAGTCTTGAGTGAGGTAGGTATAATTTTTCTGGGACAACTCAAGCCAAAAAAGCCAATAAACCCGCAGTTTTCTTAAATGACTTGCCAAGCAACCAGTTGGCAGCTCAGAGTGGGAGTTTGCTAACATATGGAGTGTAGTGACAAATGAAACGTGATGCTAACAAAGTCATGTACATTAAAAGTAAACCTTAGATTACTCCTACACATTAATGGATGTCTAGGCTAGGGTCTTACAGAAGGCTAAAATCCTGTTGACAAATCTCTGTGGGGCTTTTCTGGGATGATAGGTATCATGCTTTTGGCTCCCATGAAAATTTAAACTTATAGAGGCAAATTGAGAAAAAAATGACATGATAGCAGATGCTTAGGTAAGCCTCACCTTATCCTCAGTAAAAGGCATAAAGAAAAGACATCATAATGACAAGTTTGCACATAAATATGAAATATTGCCATCACTCCTGACTTGACAATCACAAAATAGAACAAAAGAAGGATGCCTGAACACCAGGTAACAACATTAACTTTGCATATGAAAAGAGATTTTGCTTCAGGGAGAGATGATGAAGGATACGATAGTGGCAGTATAACGTGAATAGTCTAGAGAAAACAAACTGGATGTAGGTTGTTTGTTTCACTATCCAAGGACCAAGATGTCATGTGAAGCTGAAAGGGAACGGATTGAAACCAAATAGAAAATACCTCTTGGAGAAAAATCACCCACAGAACTATTTGATTGAAAAAAATAGGATAGGATTAAAAAAAAAAAAACCAAAACAGCTTTGATATTTCAGAGCAATGAAAACTGCATTGAATAAAACTCTTCTGTGTATTCTGTGAATTACACCTCATGCCCTGAAGCAAGTTTGTATTCTGGGCGAGAGGATTTTCTGTTTATCGGTAGGTTTTTGTGCTAGTTGTCACCCATAAAGCTGCTTTTGCCTTGTTCTGAAGTGGCAATAACTACTGCCAAAGCAGTGTGCTTGGCTAGTTTGACATAGTGGCCACTTATATTCCTGTTGACTTATTTCTCCTGCCACTTATAGTCCTGTTGACTTAATATATTGGTTTTTACACTCAGATTCTGAATACATTTACAACTAGCCATATTATTAGATCATTAGAGCTGATGGTAAATGTTAGTAATGTTTGTATTAGCAAAATTAAACCATCCTTCTGTGTCTGTCAGATGGAGATCAGTCTTTGGGTTTGATCAAAAATGCAGTGTGCTCTGCAGAAATTTTCGGGATAATGTGGGTTAGTGCTGTAAATAGCAGGTCCCAGAAGAAGGCTTAAATAAAAAATGTGGTTGGCATGAATGGTTAGGGTGAGGGTGCATCATTTTGTCTGCTACTATACAAATATATTGGGATTTTAGGATAAAATACCTCTTTGGAGCTCCCTAAATGCTGCAAAATTCTTGTTTTCTTTGGCTTGTGCGAGTTTGCCTGCTTAGTTACATTTTCTTTATTTTTGCTTAAGAACATTTCCAAGTTCAGTTACCTAGAGCAAGAAGCTTGCAGAACTGTCTAGTGAGCTCAGTAGCAGTTAGCATGTTAGCTGACATGTTTTAAAAGGCAACACAAAAATTACATGAGACAGGGGGAATTATTTAGTGGGATTATGCAAGTGGACGTGGATCTGTCACACTTTTTTGCCTTAGATATCTGTCCATTATCATTTCTGTAAATCTTCTTACACATCAGGTTTGTAAACAAAAGCACCTTCAGAATATTCAGGTTTTACTTATATTCATAAGAATGTAACTGTTAGAAGATAATTTTATTTAGCACTTGCTAGTAGTGTTTTTTTTAATGTGGGTTGTTTTTTAACACGTAATGGCCAAGGTTTAAAAGTGCTTTTAGTATTTGAATGTAACCACATTATGTTTTCAGGTGGTCTTTCTCTATTAGCAACACATAAGGATACAAAAGCTGTTGGAACTGTACATAATCTACAAGATAAGCATATGCTGCATGGCCCGTATTTTACATTAATACTGCTGAAGACTTAATCCAAGYTTCCAAGATAAGCTCCCTGAAAAGTTACAGCTCAAGCCTAAGACGTTTATGATGTTTAGCAATCTAGGAGGTCTTACAGCACACAGCCCCTAGGGAATGACCTGGGGCTTTTCTTGCAGAAATGTAAGTGACTGAGCTGTGAGGTTTAGTTGAGTTTTAAAAYGTGTGGCCATAGTGAGACCTGGAGAGGCACGTTCTACATTATAATCTGCTGTCTCTTGTTTCTGTGTTCACGTTAAAACTGCTGGCTGTAGTTGTAAGAGACAAAATAAGTGGCTAACAGTATTCCTAAGCTTTCTGTTCTCGCCTGGCCTTCAGCTGGAGTCTCCAAGCTGAGCAGAGTTTCACGAGGGTCAGAAATGTAAAATTGCACAATTGTCTTCCTGGGATGGTTGGACCGGGTTTTCACGGCTCTGTAACTCCCTGTTCAGGAGGCTTTAATTTCTTTCCTAACTACCAATTGTTCTCTGTCATTACTGTAGATGTCAGTGGTGCAATATCTATAGAGTATCTAATTCTTACAATGTCATACAGTGACATCTAGTCTGATTAAATGAAGCTGTTGCTTCTGCAAGGGGCTGAGCATTCTGAGTATTCAGGCAGAGAAAAGCACTGAGACATCCAGAGACTTCAGCAGGAATAGACTTGAACCTGAGTCTAAGTCCTGGAAAGGTAAGATAACACTGAGAAAAATCAGTCCCACATTGGCTTTTGTTGCATTAAATATCTTTCATTTTCCTTATACAAAATGCTGAGAGTAAAGGAATTTTTTCCCCATGTCAAGTCAACATTGCAGTTAATACAAAAGTACATAAAAATCTTCCTGTTCGTAAGCATTTCTTCTGTAGTGTCATAATTCTTTTTTCCCCTAAACTGTTGATTTTTAAGTTTTTTGGTGCAAGAATTGTCACTTACTTATGCTGGATCTGGTATGTTGGCACTGCAGGTCCTGCAATGCTATTACAACACTAAATAGCATAGGAGTTCACTACAAATACAGACCAGGTAAATGGTGCTCCTCTCCTTCATGCAGGGGAGATTTTCATGCAAATCTTGTGCACAAAGCTTTTTATTCTGCCTCTATTTGGTACGGAAGGTGGATGATAATCTTGGGGTTCCGTGTCGGTGCATCTTTAAATACTTCMTTTTTACTTCTGAGCCACTTGAAATGTTTCCTTCTCCTCTCCAGATAACAAGGAGCTTTTYCTCGGAAAGGCTTTTCATAAAGCATTCCTAGAAGTTAACGAGGAAGGATCAGAAGCTGCTGTTGCCTCAGGTACCTGACTGAAAAGCAGAACTAAATCAAATGTCTGGTTAATTAATATTTTAAAGCTGACTTAGTGCAGAGCCAGGGAAGCGGAGTAGCATGAAGACAAAGCACAGCTAGTGGGCTGCTTTTTGGAAGAGAATTCTGGAAAGTCAAAATGTTGACGTTTTCATAACACGGTATGTTTTGCAAAGCATTTTGAGCATCCTATGGAAAAGCTTCTGTTATATTTCTAAGTGTCAGGTAAACACAAACTGCAATTTACACTTTCTGAATTCTAATCTGAATTTCAATTCTTGGTAATTGGAGGGTGGATCTGCTAATTGAGATGCAGTGATTGAGCCTTTGCTCCAGAATGGCCAGGAAGTTGTTGCCATTGCATTAATAAGCTCATGGATGGGGAGGTAAGGTGGGATGGAGTAAATAGAAAGTTGGTTTGCCAGTATTCATGCTGCAAAGCCAGATGGTTGATTACTTGGTTGTCACATTTTCTTCCTGAAAATAAGCTTTATTAATTGCYAAATGGGATTATTAGGTGATTAATTGTACCAGTACTCGTCCTAGTCTTTCAGGGAAAAACAGTTTTCATCATGAATACCAGTAACTGTTAGAATACAGTGTTTATATGGACAGAGATTACTGACATACATGAATTTTTGGTTGGCAGTGCAGTTAAAAATGTAAAAGAAAATGACACATTGGGAATAACTGCCTGGAGAAATTCATGCATCTCCAAATAAAAATAATGAAGAACCAAATTCTGCTTGACTGCTGGTTAGTTTTACCCTCAACCCCTTTTTTATTTAAAGACTCAAGTGACTCAAAGCTGCAAGATCAGCCTGTTTAGCTACTGCTTACTCCAGTTACTAGAGATCACTTGTTACTATCAAATGCAACTTTGGAACAGGTCAGCAGCACTGTTTAACTTAATGCACTTTCTTTCTAAAGTGAGCAGGCTTTTTGCATCTGCTAATTTGTAAACTGCTCAGTGCTGGAAGTAAATAGTGCTGCGCTGTTCATCATTCTGAAAGCATAAACAAGCCTGCAATTACTTGGGCCCTTCCTCTTGTTTTCAGTGTCTTTGAGCTGCAGGTATTTCCCCCATGAAGAGTGGGAGAATGTGAAAAGGATGCAGTGATGTTTAACAAGTTGCCTGTGTTCTTTTTCCTTTAGGAATGATCGCTATTAGTAGAATGGCAGTGCTGTATCCCCAGGTGATAGTTGATCATCCTTTTTTCTTTTTGGTCAGAAACAGACGAACAGGTGAGATTGTGTAAAACGTCTCTTTTCTCTGTCCATCAGTATTGTGCAAGAGAAAACTGTACATTTTGATCAATTGATTGGTCTTGTAGGAATTTTCCTTCATCTATCTTGTGATGCCTGGTATTAAGACCTACCTTTTCCAACAAATCTGTGTCCTCTTAACACTTCACTAAGACAGACACCCAAACCTCCCATTTTCCTGCAAAGTATTCGTAATTCTTTTTGATGGAAAAATGATTTATATTATGGGCAGAAATTACAGCTGTGAATAATTCTGTGCTGTTGAAGTGTTCTGTGAGAGACAAGGGGTGAGAACAGCAAAATGGGCACTAAGTAATTCTCTGGTTTCATCTTTGTAATTTCTCTCTCCTAATGATGTGAATGTGCCCGGGTGACAAATAGGATGTTACTTCACAGCCACTTAGGAGACTACCTGATGGATCAGTGTGTTGTAGCATTTTATCTGTTCTGTAAGCAAGCATCAGTAGTCCTGGTTTGCACGGGGGTTTGTTGCATTTGAGTTGCCCATCATAAGCATCAGTGTTTATTAAACCAATTAGACCTCAGTGATGTTTATGCTCTAACGAGGCTGGGTGCCTTGTGTGCAAGATGTCATACAAGTGCTTACAGTTTGTCAYGACTGTCCCTAAGGACCAAAAGTTGAGAAGCTTTGCTCTTGTACAGATGGAGTTAGGCAAAAATGCAGGTGGAGTCAGGCCTTTGCCCTGCTGGATTCTCCTGTCTCAAAAAAAAAAAGTTTAAATAGGAAGAGAGTAGATGCTCATAGCCTTGGGGCGGTTCTTAATGTTTCCCAGGCATTGTTGCATTTATAGTAACTATAGCATTTATACCTATAGCTATAGTAAAGCCAACAAGCACGTGCTAGTTTAGAAACCTAAGGTTAGAAACCTTTGGAAAAGAAAAACCTTTTTTTTCCTTGTGAAAGTAGTCTCAGTGCACATGATAATTGAGGTTAGCTTTAAATGGTGATTAAATGACTCAGGAGAGCAGTATGTCTTGCTGTAGAGTGCATGTTGCAATGGGGAGCACATCTGAACACGTATGTACCGAATAATGCTTGTGTGGTGCTTCTGTGGCGCTCTCATAACATGAGAAACGTTGTCCAGCAGCTCAGGAAGATTATTCTGAGTAGGCTTGCCCAGCTTTGGAAGTCTCCAGCCTCAAGGCTGGCACTACCTTCACAGCAGTGGCAGTATTTGCATGGGCTTTTACCAGAGCTACAGAAATGAAAGAAAATTTTGTTTGGATTTCTAATGGGTTTGAATCAAGCCCTTAAATTAAGCTGGGGCACTTGCATGTTGAAGACTTTGCAGTTCTTGCCTGCTTTGTACCTGTGCCCACTCTCCTATGCATGCATAGCCCCCCCACACACACACCCTGTATTCCTATAAAAAATATTCATCATACTTTCCAGGCTTTAATATTGGTTTTATCACCTTATACCCTCCACCTTTTCTTTTGGTTTTGACTTCTCCCTTTCCCCCCCACCCTTCTCTCTTGCCACAGGTACTGTCTTGTTCATGGGAAGGGTAATGCACCCTGAAGCAATGAATGCAAGTGGCCATGACTTTGAAGAGCTTTAGCTACCACCAGCTGCCAAAAAAAAAAAAAAGGAAATAAGCACATAAAGTTTGAAGTTAATATATTTAAGGTTTGCTGTGTTTTTTCCCCCAAAATACTGTTTAAAAGTCTTTCAGGTTTAACTGTGGCTTAAATTGCAAGTTGTTTCTGGAGGAAAGTTTGCAGTATTAAAATAATGTTCTGTTTCTGTAATTGTGATTGCTGTGTCCTTAAAATAAAGTTGTATACATGTCAACAGCTGCTGCTTGTTCTAGTGAATTGTAAAGCAAAAAAAAAAATTTGCAACTCCATAAACCCTAAATTTTTTACAGTCCAAAGGCTGACTTGATCAATGAGACAGGAGCAGAATGTGTGCAGCTCTGAATAATGCAAATGGCAAACCTTAAGGACTTAGAGCTGGATGAGGAATTATATCTGGAAAATGTAATTTTGTCCTGTTCTTGTAGTAAACAGACTGCAATGTGGTGTTCCATCAAAGTTAATGGAATAAATTAAGCCTAGTGGATTTTTATTCCATAAATTAGCTGCAGTAGACTTTTTTGTGTGAATCTCCCACATGTCATCCTAAAAAGTTGTTTTTATGAATGCTTCTGCATGTGCCCCTGCAATTTACTTTCCATAAGTGTTGATGCCAATAAAATTTGATAGCATGAATATTTAGACTAGTCAGTGGAGAATAGCTATATATATATGGCTGAAATAAATTAATTGAAAGGGTCACATCATTCACGCGGATGTATTTTCTCCCCCAGAATAGTTGTTGTTCTTGGCAAACTCAAACTTTGTACCATCTTACATCAATGATCTAGAATGACCTTTCTTTTAAAATAAAAATCTTAATTTCAAGAGTTGAAATATATTCGGTTCATAAATATCTAATGGAACATAATCCTTTTTGTTCTCAGTTTATTGAGAATAAACAGATAGAGGAGAGGGACACACAGCATAAGTAAATATTAGCAAGGGGTTTAGTTGTCATTCCCGTTAGTGGGAGGGAAGAGAGGTACCAGTTATCACCAGAAAGGCAGATAATTATTTCTTTCCTGTTTGTATAAAATATAAAATGAACAGGAGTTACTCAAAGTTAAAAGAGAATAGGGAAGTATTGTCTTTGGGGAATAAAGGGGAATGCTTTTAAGAAGGAGCAGAGGTGAACTTTACTAATACCTAAAACTAGCCTCAGTGTAACAGGAAAGAGCTTCTATGAAATGGAGTTAGGTGATGGCTGGTTCTTCATATTTAAATAATTCTTTTAATATCCTCTGTTTGTAAAAGTGTCTGAGATGCTAAGGATTTCTTGTTTTAAACTTTATGGGAGGCCTGAAAAATAGGTGGGTGTTCTTAAGCTAAATTTACATTTCAGGCAAGTTTGAGGCAATTACTGAGTTTGAAAGAAAGGACAAAGCAGATGACAGCTCAGTGATGTTTGTTCTCAGTGAAGTTCTTCCTGACCAATTTTTATTTCCTTGGATCAATCTGTTGCAGTGTAGAAGCTTCTTGTTAAGGGGAGGACTTTGAAGATAGACTTGAACTAAAGCTRTGGAGTTATGGAGTGACGACTGCCAGTCAACGATATTGATAGAGGATGTCAGGCAAGTGCATAGACTTCCCTACCAGTTAGACTGAGCATAGGTACTAAGTGGTAAGATGCAGAACCTCATAGTTTAAAGACTCATTTTGAGAATTGCTTCAGTGAGCATTTAAGAAAAACAATAGAAACAAGAGCAAAAAGTAGTTACCTTGTTAGATACTCATGAAATATCCAGTTTATCTACCTTAACTTCAGAATTATATAGTTTTCTGCAACCCTATGAATTATTACCAAATTATATGAAGATGTTTGCTCTCAACCACAGTGAGAGCAGCCCTTGAGCAGTCCTTATTAATAGCGATAACCCTGAGTATTGTTGTCAATTTTATATATGAAAATATAGATATATGTGTGGGTAGACACACATGAGTATTGTTTCACAGTGCATTTTAATCTGCATTTGTATAATGGTCATCTTTGGGAAAAAGTAGCCAAGTTTTTTTTGTAATGGAAACTTGTCAGTTGAGTTTCACMTGTTAGTTTAGATATCTATTTTTAAAAAGAAACAAACAAATGTTTGTATTTGGGGCAGAGTGTGAGGCATGTCAAAAAAAAAAATAAAATACTGCAACTTCGATAGTTGTGCTGTCTAAGTGACCCGTGATGGRACAGGGGATACTAGAATCTGTCTGGTGTGCATGGAGTTGAGCATGGGTTGCAATCTTCTGTCCTTCCTGCGGGCACYACCAGGATCTTGCTACAAATTCTGAACAGGGCTGCAGTTGGAGAACACTGTCCCTTTAGTGGTGGCCTGGTAAGTTCTGCCTGATGGCTTCAGGCTGGCTGGTCCCTTGTACCAGCACTGAGCTCATCATACATGAAAGCATCTATTGTGAGTGAAAGTATCTCTAGAAAACAGCTGCTAAATTTCTACAGAGTGCACAGATCCCTGAAGTAAAAATAATCAGTTGGGAGATACTTAACTTTCCCTTTATCCCCATTCACTCAAAGCTTGTGACTCTCAAAATTTAAGAACTGCAATTATTTGTAATGATGATTCATTGATAAGGTAATACTCAAGATAGTGCCTGTAACTTCAGAATATAATTTGTCTGCAGACTAAYTATATTTCCAGTGAGAAAGCTGTTTCAAATCTCAATACCAATCGTGGGGGGAGCATCATCGTTCTGCCCGTGTCCTGAAAAATGAACAGCCATTTAAGCTGCTGACTAGCAGTTGATACCTCACTCGCGTCAACCTGGCTGACAAAATTGGGGGAGGAAACGGTATCCTTTTACTTGCTTTTTTGTCTTTTATTTCAGTGTAAATGATACAGAACTTGTTTGAGATCACTATAGCTACTCTGGGTTTTCAGACATAAAAAGGAASCAGAATTCAGCATGCAAAGTAAGTGTGAGCCAAAAAGTTTATAGAATAGTTTTACTAACAGGGAATCTGATTATGGTAGCAACAGATTGAAGCTGCTGTAGCAGAATATCCTTAACATACTAGTACAGAGGAAGAACTAAGAGTAGGATTAACARGAGGAAATGTATCCATTTTTGTTCAGCCTCACAAACAGTATTTTTCCACTCCCTAAAAAGCTGTCCAAAGTCTGCAAACTGAGCATTTTTTCCTGAATTTATCAGTAGGCTTTTTGTTCTTTTATTTCCTCCTAAGAGCTGGCCGTGGCCCACAGGCTGTTGGAGATATGCACCAGTCTCCTGCTAACTTTGAAGAACAAGGAGAGATGCTCTCCGAAGAAAACAGAACAATCTCATTCCTTGTGAACGCTCAGCAGGAGTCAGGGTGAGCACGGCCACTTTTACCTAGCAGACACGTAGCCCTTCTCTATTGCTGCAGCAGGAAACAGGTTTGACCAGGAGTTCTCTGTGCGCTTTATGTGCTGGGAGCAGCTCACAAAAAATGAGCTCCTTTCAGTCCAATAATGCCAGTGCTCAGAAGAACATGTTGGAACATATGCAGGTGTTAATAGCACACAAACAGAGCCTGGCACTTACCTAATAAAAGGAGACAGACAATCTGTTCTTTTCCTAAGATTTCACTGTGATTCCTTTAGCTGGGTTTGGTTTGTGATTTCTTTGAAACACAGAGAGTTGCCTTGGGTTTGTATTGAAAAGCTCTGTTAGAGCTTTCCTGAAATACTGCATTTCAAATGAAAAACTACTTTTGCCTTTAAGTGAGGTGAACTGTGGCTGGCCTAGCCATGACCTGAAGTCAGCAGCTTCTTGGAAGGGCAGAAGGCTCCTGAGAAAAATCTCCCCAACAGTAGCCGACCTCTCTAAGACTAAACACAACCTGTAGAGGGCAACAGAGCTGTAGTAGTAAATCTGACCATGCTTCTTAATATTTAATTACTATTCCCGTATGTGTTGTTTCATTGTTCATGCAAAATGTATTAGGCTATCCAAGAGTACCCTAATTGGCAGTGCATTGGACATGATCTAGTYCATGTGCTTCATGCTACTGTTTTTGTGGTTTTTTTCTCCGAGAAGTACATATTAAGCATGCCTACTGAGCTGTATAAGAGCTCTGAGTGAACAGAAYCTATTTCAGTGCATTACTATTATTAGTAGAAAGCAGTCAGTGATCTGCTGTTGCAGAGGGTRAAAAGCAAGGGCATAAACTCTATCCAATTCAAAGAACAGGTGCCAGGTTTATATGAGCTTTAGTAGTACTTACATTTTTGTAGTATGCTCTGCACTCAAAAATTCTAGTGTTATATACATTAAACTTGTCCACTTATTACTATTYCAAGCGTTAATTTTGGCTATCATACCAAAAATCCTAATGGGAATATATGCTTAAATGGATGCAAGAAAACCTTCTCTGGTCCACAGAAGAGACTGAARGCACCACATTGGAAAGGGTAAGATGTCCCTATCATTTTCTCTGAGATGATAACAAAGGAACTGCATTCCTGGCAAGAGTTGCCTATTAGATGCTAAGCTCCTTTCCTTTGCTCTCCAAATTTGCAGGAAATGACAGTAAGGACCATGGATTATATTTTGAACCTGGTTTGCCCCCATTGTAATGTTACAGAAAATGCATAAGTATAAAATTGGACTATGGCGCTGAATCAAGTTCATGGTATTACTGAAATGAGATCTTAGTGTTCTACCAGAAAGGGAAGAAAAGCATTTTGTGGCTATTTTTTATTTTTCAGGGGTGGACAAAAGTAGAGACCACAAGATGTCACTCTCTCCTAAGCAGCTCGGAAGTGCTTTACCTTAGCAWTCCTTTGGGAATGTTGGAAAGCCAAATACCCACAATGGATTTTCCTCTCTAATAAGTGTATGTAACTTTTGGTGAAATCAAAGGGTTGTTTGTGAGTCTAAAATCCAGGTGCCTGGAATTAGCAACTGGCAAATGTCACCCATCTCTGCTCTGTGGCCCAAGCCTCTCTTTGATTCTTTACCACTTAGCAATGCTAAGTGCATTTAAGGTATATGGTGAATTCATAGATCCAGCTCACAGCCTGCATGGCTGTGCTGGGTGCTAGGTGAGCTGAAGTAAAAGACAAAATTTACGTTTCTACCCATCCGAGTAAATAGCACTAGTGTTGATACTATGATTACTTCAGAGTCCCAGGGCTGAAGCAAGAGATGCTCTCTCTCTGTTGATAGTAATGGAGAAATAACTCAGGTTGGAGTTACTGCTATGCTGGCTTTACTCTGTTGTTATTTTCTGATTTACCTCTATTTTTTCTCGTCTCCCTTGCTGCTGAGCCCACAGCCACTAGAATTTCTGCAGGAGCCAATTCCCAGCATGTTCTCCCTTTAAGCAATGCAATTATCCTAATGTGCTGGGTATTTCACTCTCTCTGGGGAGAAATTAATTTTTTTTCTTATCAGAAAAGATTTTTATTCTTTTTTAGAAGACTACGCRTATTCCCAAAGCTGTGCTAGCAGGTTAGGGCAGGGGTAGCATTTCCATCCCTTTTAAGGGGTATCTTTGCTGTTYTCCTTACATGGGAAATGAAAATATTTGGGTTAGAAATGTATGATTACAAAAGCACGGTGCCAGGGAAGAGGGAAAAAGGTACCTTAAGTCAGGTACTACCAGTAAAGTGTGAATTTCCTTCCCTCATGAGCTACTCTGGATCTATGGACATGTTCAAAGAGAACTTGCTGTTTAACTTTCCATGTAAAACAGGCTGCAGTCCCCAGGGATTGGGGATCAGGCTGCAGTAGTTACAGACTCTGCCTGCTTACTGGGGGCTTCTGTCAGCTGGTTCAGTAGCTTGTCTGCAGCCTCCAGCTGCTATTGCTTAAGGGCTATAAAACACAGTTACACATAACAAACAGTTCACCATACAAAAAGGAATATATCTGCTTCATGAGCTGGTAGAGCTTATGAACAGCACGGTGTATCTGTTTCCCCATCTACTGGGGGATAGCAAATATCAAATAACATTCTCTTTATACAGGACTGCTTTTGTAACAACATCTACATTTGGGTTGTTTTTTTGTAGCAGTAATTAGGAGCCATAGTGATGAATGAATTGCTCTAGGCCTTAGCTAAACTGGCGGATAAGATTGTCCGYCATGCAATAATGTGTAGTTGAAAATGCAGTTTAGAGACAATAGTGCCTGCAAGGCTGGTAGAAGGATATCAGACTTATTTGCACTCACTCTGGTGCATAAATGGAAAGGCAGTGAAAATAAAAGCACTATTTTTGTCTACAGATAAATGTATTTATGAATAAGTGACTTTTGGCTCCTCTTACTATTTTAGAAATTGTTCAGACTTTTCAAAACACTATACAAAAAAAAATCTGGTAAGGGCTATGCCTGGAATCCAAGCAGCTAATCATTTTTAAGTAAGTGGAAGCTCAAATCAAGCRTGGCAAAGCTCAAAACGTTAGCAGCTGTTTCTGAAAGCGTGATGTTCAAAAGCCTCCACAGGATGCTCCACCTTCCACTGTGATCAATAGTCTGATTTTTTTCCCCTTAATGATGTGTTTGCAACACTATGTTCTGAAAAGTAATTTGCCAGATAGTTCTAGCAAAATTCTGAGTCTTCTACTAAGAGCTGGCTGAGGAAAAAGATTAAATTCATTCCTGCAGCTGGGGAATTAAACCCAGGTTACCTGACTTTCTATCTTTGCAGTCACACTGAATCATAACTTGAATGACTATTCAGGTATGACCTATGCTTTACAGTTGACAGGTTGTTTCAGCATCCACCTCTCAAACATATGTCTTCTGTTCCCTATGGAAAA